TTATTCAGTTATAATCTCCATTTTAAAAAAAATAGATTTTTGCACTAGTGATGGACACCCCGAAATTCAATTGTTCTAATAATGGACAGAGGGTTGGTACCAGTAATGGACATACCTCAGAAAAATTCTAAAATCTTTATTTAACTATAAAGATGATATAACATACTCGTAAATTTTCACCTTACTCTTAACAAAACGTTTAGTAGGGGAAGTTATGAAATACACTGATCTCATGAGTACTATAGAAACAGCAACGATACGATTTTTAAAATTTTGTTTTGGGAACTTTGTTCATACAGTTGTCAACATAATATAAATTATGTTTACAAGAACAAAATACGTGATTCAATGAATTTAATAATTAACTCTGAAGGTGAACTAATGATTTCAGATGGGCTGTTCTGAGAATTTTTGCCATGAAATTTTGTAACATTAGGATTGGGAATTACAACATATCTATTGTCTATGAAGTGGCGCAATTTTCGATATTACACAGTTCTTAATCTGCATATAAGATAGTATGTATTTGTATATTATGTAAGCTAATGTATGCTCATGTATAAATAATAAAAAATTATGCACAGATTATAGTGGTATCTGTGTCATCAACGCTTTTATAAAACTCCTATGAAGAATTGTCAAAAGTAGGTTAGAAAGGGAATATGAGGGTACAGAAGACCAAAGTGGCTTTACTGCAGGAAGATCGTGCATCGATCATATTTTTACAATGAGACAGAATTTTAAAAATCTAAAGATGTAGTGTCTCTTCATTGACTTAGAAAAGCCATATGCCTTAGTTCCAAGGAAGCTATTGTTGAAAGCTCTCAAGGAAGCAAATATCTCAGAGCCCATAATAACCATCATAAGAGAAATATACCACAATAATGCCTGCTGTGTTAAACTAGGGTTAAATGTCTCTGAAAAATTTCGGACCTCAAAAGGACTTTTGCGAGGATTTTGCCTTTCGCCTACTCTTTTTAAAATTGATGTTGATATTGCTCTCAGAGAGTGGAAAGGAAAATGTAGAAAATGGGAATAAACATTGGGGAAAATTTATGCATCACGGACCTAATGTTTGCTGATGACCAAGTAATCATAGCCCAGGATAGAGAGAACATTATATGTTCGAAAAGGTTGTCGAGAGTTATCAAAAGTGGGAGTTGACGGAGTACCTTGGCACTTCATCTGATGACACGCTAATTGAAAGTGGTATACAAATTGTAAAATGTTGTAAAATAAAAATGTAGAGAAATTTAAATAAATAGGAGCAATATTTAATAGAGAAGGTACATCCACCTGACAGAAGAATTGGAAAAGGAAGAAAGGTCACAGCAATAACAGCATCCTTCAAAGTCCCTTGAGAATAACAATATTGTACATAAAAATTAACATAACATCTGGCCAAAATGCATATTACAATAAAAAAACAACAACAAAAAGAACTAGAAAATAAGTAATAAAAGAAGTATTTACATAACTATACAGAAATATTAACTACATAATATAAGCAATAAGGTCCTAATACTGCAAAATAGTTGCTATAAACAAACTATGGAATTCTAAATGAAATTTGAAATGAGCGACAAATTATTTTTGTTGTCATACCATTGTATTAATGAAAAAAATAATAATATACAAGGCTATATTCGTGCCAATTACGACATATGCCACGGAGATATGGGTCATCAATGCAAGACACCGAAACAGACTGTTATTAGTAGAGATGGACTTTTGGAGAAGATCAGAAAAAAAATTCAAAAAGGAAAGGATCAAAAATGAAAGAATTCTGTAAATGATGGAGGTGGAAAAAACATTTTAGTATTGAAAAGAAAAGGTTATTCTGGTTTGAACATGTGAAAATAATGACGCCTGAAAGATTGCCAAAGATATGTATGGAGCTAGGAGTAGAAGGGAGAAGAAAAAAGGAAAGACCAAGGGTAAAATGGAAAGACGCGGTAGAAGAAAGATGCATCATAGAAGAACAAGCTTTGGATAGAATGGAAAAATATATTAAAGAATATTTAGGTCTCGTGGAAAAGTAGAGTAATGGAAAAGCCATTAAAAAAAAATTAATAATAATATTTACGAAACCAAAAATATATTGAAACCATTATCTTACTTTTTGGTATTACCATTGGCTTTTTATAGGCGATTAGTTAATTTCTTTTTTTTTGCTCCATTTCTCTATTAACGACTATGATACATTAAAGTGACAATAAGCAAATGATCTAAAAAATTATGATGATAGTAATTAAAACAAGAATGTTTATCTGAGCTATTCTTAGCAACTTTCGTATGTAAATGTTTCATACAATAATATAAGGAGTGAAAAATGAAGGAAATATTACCAAAATTTTCACCGAATCAAACTTCACATAACTCCCTTATATTACTACTATATTTAGTAGAAAAGATTCCATCCAACCCATTTCCTCATATGGCAGTCTTACATCCTTAGAGGAAAAAAATAAAAAACAAAATAAATAAATACTACATACTTTTATATAATTTATTCCAAACATGAAGAAATGGTGAATTATTTAAATTAAATATAAGTAACATATGCCGATGACACATGTATCCTATCAGTAAATAATGATCCATCAATTGCATCCCAAATGCTTCAATCACACATCATAAATCTTGAAGAATGGTGTAAAAACTGGAGAATTAAAATAAACTCCAATAAATCCCATCAAATTACATTTACCCTTCGTCGTAAACCAACGACTGCCTGTCCTACAGTTTCCTTTAACAATACTCCACTTATCTCTGTTGAGCAAATTAGATACCTAGAACTCTACCTGGACAAGCGACTAACTTGAAATCCTCATACTAGACTGAAACGACAAGAAACCGCTCGACGTTTCCGATTACTTCAGCACTTACTAGACAAACGCTCTAAACTTCCAATTAATTACAAAAGACTCATATACTTGACTATAATAAGGCCTCTTTGGACTTACGGAGTTGAGCTATGGGGCTCCACTAAACCATCGAATTCCTCTCGCATCCAATCCTTACAATCCAAAATCCTTCGTAAAATCCTCAATGCTCCTTACTTTGTCACTAATAAAATTATCCATAAAGATCTTAATGTTCCTTATGTTTCAGATCTGGCCCAATCCAGATACCTATCCTTCCATAATAAACTTCAGAATCATCCCAACCCTCTCGTTTCTAACCTTGCTTCCTCTTCAATTCCTGATAACCCTCCGAGGCGTCTGAAAAGAAGATTGCCTCGAGATCTCCTAATGTAGTCTTGTCATTAGAGTGCTACCATTGGGTAGTTACTCAGCAAGTGTATTCATGTCATTATATCTATTATGTCCAAATTTACTAGATGTATTTATGTAATACAGTTGTAAATGTCATTAAGAAATAAAAAAAAATATATAAGTAAATTAATACGAAATTTCTACTAACATTAAATGAAGTTATATCAATCAAGATCAACTCACTTCTTCGCTAAATATAATGAAATACAATTCGAATAATGCCTCTTTAATCGTACATTTTTGAACGAGCCAGGGGTTCCAACAGAATGTATTAATAGCGTTACGACATGATTTGAAATCTTCTAAACTGAGCCAGTAAATATCTTATAAATTATTATCAATGATTTAATTATATGAAGATGGATTTTGATTAATGAGGTATCAAACGAAAGAGAATTTTATGGAGAAGTTTCACAAGTTTTAAAATTTAAATATATCTCTATATGGTATTCTTCGACGAACTAAAAATCTATTGAAAAAGTAGAAGATTATTTTTGTTTAATAATATTTTTGTTTTGTAGGTATGAATGTGTATAAGAAAATTAATTTTATTTATTTATATTTATTTACTGCTTTTTTGTTTTGTTTTTTGTTTATATTGTATGAATGTACTCTTGCAGCTAGCTCCAATACTTGTTGCTCTCCATGAGGCAGATTGTATTATCATTCAATAAATCATCAATAAAAAAAAATGTCTGCCAAGTAAATTCAGTATTGCTTACATCGATTTGACTACAGACGGACAGATTCCGAACCAAATTTGATCTTTGATATCTGAAACGTAAAACGCGATTGGAAATTTTCGATTCTGATCCCAAAATTTTTTTTATAACCTCTCTCACAATTACAATGCTTCCCTATCTTCGGTAGTGAGGAAGCAAACATTTTAAAAAAATATTTTGTTTTAATATTTTTATTAAAGAACATTTTATTTAAACTTTGGAAGGCTCTTCTACGCCAAACGAATAGATCTTGAGCGAGTACAATATAATGGATCAGTATAAGTTTATTCATTAGCGGATCCAGGATTTAATTTTGGGGGGAGGGGGAACTTCAGCCCGAAAACTTTTTTTTCATAAAAATATCGATAATTACTTTGGTAAAAAAGAACGAAACTAACTACCTATATTAAATGGTGTTTAAGTGATTCTTAAAGTCCTTTTAAATTACACGAAAAATAATACTTTGAGAGATAATTTTATAATATTTTTTTCGATAAAACATGATTATATTTTACCATTTTGGGGAGGCTTCAGCCCCAAAGCGCTTCTCCCCCCTCCCCCGTAGATCCGCCCGTGGTTCTATCTTATTGCCGAACTACTGGAATGATATTTTTCAGTTTGAGAACCACCCACTGAGTAAATTGTTTATTTAACAGAATAATATCTAATGTGATAATTCATAAGGGGATATACTAATAATGAAATAATACAGGTATTGTGAGATTATTAATACTTTATTTACACCTTTGATGCTAAATTTGAATTATTAATTAACTAAAAAATCATAATTAATTTAATTTTAATGAAATAAATTTAAATCAACAGCTATGTTCTGTTGTTAATAATTAAGATCGTAACACGGGCGCAAGTTCGTTGTATGTTTTAGTTGAATAAATTGATGCACCATATAGAATGTAATTATGTAATTTATAATCCATACCGAGAGCCAATAGGAGAGGAGGGAGGCCGAGTGGGCGTGGCCTATACCCTGGAAGGGGGAGATATATATCCAGCTGATTGGACAGCGACCACTCAGACCCAGTGCGATGGCGATCCCTCGACTTGTTCTCTTGACGACCGTATTGGCCTTGGCCTCGGCCAGCCTGGACTCGATGTTGGCGGACAGCTTGGACGAGTGCCTCGGCTCCGGAGCGGGCACCGAGGCCTGCCTGAGGGGGCGGGTCCTGGACTACCTAGGCGCCCCCCGGGCCGGGGGGGACTCCGCCCTCGCGGAGAGGGTCCTCCAGATCCTGAAGAGCCACGACCTCAGGCTCCAGCTGCCAGAGGCCCTCCAGGGCGCCACCCTCGTCTTCAAGCCAGGTCGTGGTCTGGACTTCGACATCGAGTTCCCTCACGAGAATGACGTCACGCCCAGAGGAGGTAAGGTCTATCTATGATGGTATTAGTCGAAGTGCAGTAAGCTTAATACTTCAAATGTTAAGAACAAAAAAAAAAAACTTATTAAATACAGCAATTAAATAAATAGTATTAGAAAATAAATTTCGGATACTAATATCATATGACACATACAATATCAATAAAAATGAGAAAAAAAACTTTATATAATATTGAGTAAGAGGTTTCATTAAATTAAAAAAAAAAAACTTAATATTTTCAAATAACAAATTGATACTGAAAAAAATGATAGACAGTTAATTATTTACAATAAACCAAATAAAAGGTACTTTAGATGAAGAAATTATGACGATTGGGCATCAACTGTTGATGATAAGACCTAGATGATATTAAAGACGAATTAATTGTACATTGATATATCGAGTTTAGTCAAAATCGTTATAGCCAAAATGTGTAAAATGGAAGATATAAAGTGATATTTCCGGTTAACTGATTTTAAGGAAACATCTCAGGGATACACCTAACTTAAATATGTAATTTCAATTTCGTGAGAATTTTTTATTTTGACCTCGGCTGTTCAAATATAGACAGACCATTGGACATATGTGCGATATTGTTATTAGGACTAGTGTTGCCCAAATGCGAGACTGAGACGAGTCTTGGTCTTGCAAACTCAGTCTTGGTCATGGTCTTGGTCTTGCGCAAGACTCTCGCAACAGTCTTGCAGTTACTTATTAGCTTATTACTATAGAGATATTACTGTATTTTTTTAGATAGGAGAAACCTAACTAAGCCCGAATGAAAAATTAGAGGGGTTGAATGCAAAAGTATATTAGTCATATCAATTATTAACATACATAAACTAAGATTGTGAAGTATTCGTAACTTTTTTAAATTAATTTTTTATTAAAAAAATTTATTTTTTTTACCAGTTCTGGTCTTGGTCTTGCAACAGTTAAGCGGCCTTGGTCTTGGTCTCGCAAAGTGCAAGACCAAGACCGATTTTGGGCAACACTAATTAGGACTCAAGGGATCTGAAATCTTGTTTAAGACTCAGTTTAGAAAAATTGCAATAATATCCCTCACTATATATTACAAATATACATAAGTGAAAGGAAAAATCTGAAAAATTAGCCTTGTAATCATTTTTTTAAAGTAAAGAATACTCTTTTTATGTTTTATTTTGGACTTAATTCATTTCTAAGTTGATTTAACATTTAATTTTCTTTAAGTGTAAAGAAGTAAAGAAGCTGCAGATATATTTTTTCACTATTTCCCCCGCACAATTCATTTATCTTTGGCATAGCGTGATTCAGTGAATGGTTTAAAACTGACATTTTTAGTTTTAAGATTTTGGTTCAGCTATTTTTCGACAGAGTTACGTTTGAAAAATAAAAATTGTACTATATTAGGGAGTACTGTTTCTTAGTTAACGGTTGTGCAAGAAGGTGATTAGACCGAGATCACACTCAATCGTCAGGTTTTCCTCTTTATAGAGTATCCACTTTATAGAGGCTAAGTGTGATTCAGAGACTGATCTTCCAATTCCAGAGTAGATTTAAGGCTCTAATTACCTGTCAGTAGCAGGATTCTAAACCGAGACCTTGAGCTTTAGAAGTCAGTGTTCTACTCACTGAGCTATCCCGCTCCAGATTTACTTCTGAAACTGTAATTAAATATAGGTACTATTTATCATTTTAAAAAAAAGCAAAAAGAATAACTTAAGTTTTGTTTGGGGGGTTTGTTTATTTATACTAGTGCATTTTTGACTTATATACATATCACATAAAACAAGGATGACCAACATTATGATTACGATGCGGCAATATTTTTACAAAAAAATCATCAGTTTCTTATGACAACTTTTCTTTCGTTCATGGTTAAGGTTGGAAATTAAATAGAAGATGCTTCACTATTGAAAAGGGGGTTGCAAAATGAAGCTAGCCCCTCCTGGAAAAAATCCTAGTTTTGTCCCTGCTATAGACAGTTGTTGAGATTGAGAGCGAGATCCGCTTACGACTTGATTTTCTGTTAGACAGGCGATACAATTATCGATATTATCCATGTTTGTAATTATAAGGACTATCACTGAGTTGATACCCCAAAAGTGAAATATTTTGTTGTTCATGCGCCACGGTATGAGCAACTTATATCTAGTAGTCTACGGTACACACCTCATTTTATCAAATTATTAATATCCAACTAAAACTTCGTGAATGGATCCATATTATCGTGACAATATTTTTATTTACAGAAATCCTCAAAAATGGGCTGGTTTCAATCCGAAGATGGGTAAACTTCGTCTATTTAATGAGATATTATAAACTCGTGAATACCTATTTGTTTTCCACTTCAGCTATTAGATAATAGGATCACAAAACTAAAAAAGCAAGATGGTCTACAAAAATATTGGGCCATTTGGCGTGACCAACCCCAAAATGTCAAAATAACTAGGTTATATTGGCCAAACAGTCCAATATTATTGAGATTCACATTTTTTCACATGTTTGTGATCAAATTATATTTCGATTCAAGTTGAAAGCATTTTTTCATTCAATTAATTAATTTAATGAAAAAATGTTCCATATCTGAGGATTTTCTTAGATAAAAAAAAAACTAAGGTATGTGCTTTAGACCAATAGATAATAAGTTAAAACTTCAACAAGGCGAGATTAATAATATGAAATAGAAATTATACATCATAGCTCATTATAAAGAAGAACATTTCCCTCGTTTACATCGTGCAGGTCAGATATTTAGCTTCCGCGATATTTTAATCCAAATCTTTAATAAAACTCGTCATCGTTTGGTTTAGGACATTATCTTTTTCCATCTCCTACTTTCTAACAAGGTCTTGGACTAAGATATAATTTTGAATAATAGCTCATTATAAAGAAGATGAAATGCTGAACAGTTCCCTCGCTTACAGTATACAGGTCCGATTTTTAGTATCTGAAATATCTTAATCCATGTGTTCAACTAACCTCGTTATCATTTGGTTTTCGACACAATTTTTTTCCTTTTCGCCTCTCTAACATGGCGTAACGTTATGATACAATTTTGAATTATAGCCTAATACAGAGAGGATGATATGCTGAACAATTTCCTCGCTTAAAGTAATCAGGCCCAATTTTTATTTTCTAAGATATTTTTATCCATATGTAAAAGCATTTCAATTAGTGGAATCTAGCTGAATTCATACGAGCGTTAACACTTTGGAAATCTGATGTCTCAATCTAATTCACTCTCCACAAAATGATTGAATGAATGTAAATAATTTTATTATTCTAGGACTATTTTCCCTTTAGAACAAGTTACAAATACAGAATATTTGTTAATATTTTAGTGTGTCCATAAAATACAATTTAATATTTACAGGTTGATTAGGAGTACAATAAAGTTATAAATGATAAAAAAATATAAATACGTGTAAATATAAAATATACAGAGAAAGTAATTAAGTGAATGAAATATCGATGAATCACAAAATAATCAAAGTATCTGATTGAACTTTGAGATTCTTACAGCTTAGGTTTTTAAGTGCATTTCGTGATCTTGAGTGTCGAATATCTGAAGGTATAGAGTTCCAGAGGAAGAAACAACTTGTATTAAAAAGAATTTATCAAACGCAGCAATTCGGTGAGGGGGAGGATAGAGGTCGGACGCACGGGATCGAGTGGGTCGGGATTGAAAAGAGCGTTTGAATTGTAGGATCTGTAGAATATAGGAGGGTCGCCGTGTTGTAATGGCTCGGTATAGGAAGGTAGCCAGGAAATATTGACGGCGGTAGGACGGATAGAGCCACCTCAACTTGGTGTAGAACTGGGTAATATGCGTATTCCTTGAGATCCTGGTGCAAAACGCGAAGAAGTTTCCACTTTAAAAAGATTTAAGTTCCGATAAGATTATCCATTGACGAAGTTTTAGATGGATGTTAATAATTTAATACAATATGGTCTATACTGCGGACTACATAGACTACAAAGATTCTGTTATGTATCATCTTTAACTCACTACTCCATCATCTTCCTTCAGAATAAGTATACAAATATATTTTTGTTTTCAGCACGAGACATGATGAAGCAGAAGATGCTCTTTCCATTGCTGATGCTGATCAAGTTGAAGCTGAAGGCTTTGACTCCGATCATGCTAGCATTCGTCGGCCTCAAGGCGACCAAAGCTCTCGTCCTCTCCAAGATCGCCATCCTATTGGTCGTCGGTTTCCTCATTGTCCAGGTCTGTATTCCTAAATATAGGGGGGGGGGATGCGCCTGTTACGGGTTAAATACTTAGATACACAGGAAAACAAACCGAAAATATAATTGATTTTTAAAAATTAATTTATATGCATATACAATCAAATAATATTTATTTAATATTTTCAGTATAAGATCAGTTCAAGCAATTAAAAATTCTTACAACCAAAGAGAAAGGAAATTAGAAAACCTCTAAGAAAGTTTTCGAAAGTTATAGCCTAAGCAGCATGCTAGTCGATTGATTATTGGCTTCGACTCAATGTCAGCGAACGAGATGAGAATGAACGACTATTTTCTTCTGCTTTGTATGCGGGAGTTGAAAACGTATAGTTCGGTATATTACTCTTTTTGTCAAAGTATTAAAATCCACCTGAAACATCGTGAATAGCTTTATCTCATCGTAGCCTACAAATATTATATTTACGAAAATATTATATTATATTTTCAATCTGGAATATAATTCGATACTGAAAACTTATAAACAACCATTTGCTTTCCTCTTGAACCACGTGCTGATCTACGGGGGGGAACTCTCCCCCAAAAATTTATCGAAACAAATATTTAAAAATTATCTCTTAAAGTATTATTGTTTGTGTAATTACATTTAAAAGGGCTTTAGGAATCACTTAAACACCATTTCATATAGGTAGTTAGTTTCTTTCTTCTTTTTTTCCAAAGTAATTGTCGTTATTTTTATGAAAAACGATTTTTTCGGGATGAAGCCTCCCCAAAAATTAAATCCTGGATCCGCTAGTTTCTTGAACCGTAATATGATTACAAAGTCGAAAAAAAGGTGGCATACAAAAATATCGATCCGTTTGGGCTGAAGCCCCTCCCAAAACTGGTAAAATATAATCCTACTTTATGAAAAAATTATCTCTAAAAGTATTATTATTCGTGTAATTACAATTAATGGGATTTCAAGAATCACTTAAATACCATATCATATATGTAGTTTCTTTCTCTTTGTTATAAAGTAATAATCATTATTTATGTATACAATTAAAAAGCTTTCTAGAAGAAAGCCTCTCAACCAAAATTTAATCTTGGATCCACCATTGCTTCTTTCTATATGTGCATTAATTTTTTTATTATTATTTTTTTAAGCGACCTCCGTTTTTGATGTATTAAGGTTCGCCTACAAAAGTAATTTTGTCAAAAAATGGATATGCATTTTGATGTGAAGTTCCTGAAACAGCCTTCAGCCCCATAATACCTTATTCTCCTTCTGTCTTTACAGTTATGCCAGAAATTGGGAATGGCTAAGATGTCCATGACCCCCGCTGCAATGCCCACGATGGACCCGACTCCACCACCATCGGTCTACGGGCCCCCGACCACCCAGAGCAGCTACGACCCCAACAGCTGGGAGCCCGCTCCGGGTCCCTACGCCAGGATATACGACACATCTCAGCAGATGGCGTATTCCGGATACACAACGCAACCAGCCAACAAGTACAAGAGGATCTAGGTAACATACCGTTTACAATTCACTATCATCTTTCATGAATGAAATCGTCCAGTTCAATCCAACCGTCCTACCCATCTTCCAATCTTATTAACCAAACAATTCCAATTATGAAATGAAAATAATTTTATTATTCTGGGACTAGTGTCCCTTTAGAACAAATCACAGATACAGATTATATATCAATATTTTGGTGTGTCCATGAAATACTATTTAATATTTACAGGTTGATTAGGAGTACAATAAAGTTATAAATGATGAAAAGATATAAATACGTGTAAATATAAAATATACAAAGAAATTAATTAAGTAAACGAAATATCGATGAATTACAAAATAATCAGAGTATCTGGGTGTACTTTGAGGTTTTTAAGTGCATTTCGTGATCAATCGGATTGGGAATGGAGTAGATGTTCGAAGAGAAGAGATTTGAATGAGGATATCGATTTTGCGTGTCGAATATCTGAAGGTATAGAATTTCAGAGGGAGACAACTTGTATTAAAAAGGATTTATCAAATGCAGCAGTTCGGTGAGGGGGAGGATAGAGGTCGGACGCACGGGATCTGGTGGGACGGGATTGAAAGGAGCGTTTGAATTGTAGGATCTGTAGAATATAGGCAGGTCGCCGTGTTCTAATGGCTCGGTATAGGAAGGTAGCAAGGAAATATTGACGGCGGTAGGACGGATAGAGCCACTTCAACTTGGTGCAGAACTGGGTAATATGCGTATCCCTTGAGATCCCGAAGATAAAGCGGATTGAGCAATTCATTAAACGTTTAAGTTTGGCTTCGAGTTCTTCCGAGAGTCCACCATACACCATGCAGCCATAGTCGAAGTGGGGGTTTATTTATGGGGGTTAATAATTATCTGTTCATCCTAATGAGATCAGTTAAACTAAATCAAATACGATTTCAAGAGATTATAATCCTTTTAGAAGAGTACAAATAAATATAAACAAGCTCTTTTCTCTCATCGAAATTTCTCATTCTTTCGTAAAAAGGAGTGACTTCCTTTTACACACTGGTACATTAGAAAAATAAATTATAAACTAAAGAACTGATATGGCCGTCTTATCTGAGGATTCTCCTGATTATCTGAAACTTCCTATAGACTCAAACACAACAGTGTGAAAAATTAAGCACTTCAGATAAAAGAGTTGATTTTTTTTTGTCCAGTCAATGGCAATGTTGTTCGTCCATACCATTGTTGACTTTTCTGGAGGGAGTGTAATTTCTTAATCTTCGTTCCTCCTTCACTACATAGTTTATGTCCGGTGCTAAAACCAAAAATTCTCTCCAGTTTCTGTATATTTAAGTACTGGAGTACATATGTATATTTAGTCTATTTTGGTTGGTCAGGAGTCTGATTATTGCAACTGGTTAGTTTTTGGTCTTGATCCTGAGGATTGCTATGAGCATGTTTGGCACTTCATCTTTCTCTTATGGCAGCTTTATTTATGGTTTTAACTTTGTCCAGAGAAAGTTAAGCTTCTATCTCTGAAAGGAGGAACCCAGCCTTAGTCACATTGTCTGCTCTCTCATTAACCTCAAAACCTCAGCGGGCAGAGTCCTCTCACTCTTAACTCCCCTGTGAAGATTAGATTTTCAGATTAGCTTATATACCAATTTGTTTTTAATGGCACCAAAACTGGATATCCGTTAGGAATCATTTTGTTTTGGGAGATATTTCAATAATATTCTCCTGCTCCGTACAGTATTTTTGGCTTCGAAAAACTTGTGTGGATTTCAGTTTCGATCCTTTCATTACAAATGACCGAAACACTTCAACTACTTCATTTCGACTGTGTCCTTCATGGCAGGTACTCAAAGATCCCTCTGTATACTTTCAAGTCTGTAACCTCCCAGAGGTGTTTCATTATATTGGATATAACTCAGAATCCAATTGCCATATAAAAGATTAAATAAATGTATGATCTTAAATATGTAGAAATTAACACTATTTTACATTTCTTGTTTTGCATATCACCAGGTTAAAAACCTTGCAGTGCATATTATTTGCTTTCTTATATTCTGATAGAAAGTTCTTAGTAATTTTTACGTTCTTTGCTGAACACTGTTCGAAGGTAAGTGTGTCATCTACTATTCCTATTATTTTCTTCTTTTTGCAAACTATAACTTCTTCCTATTCACACCAAATTGCTTCAACTACAGAATAAACATGAATTTTAAACCTAATATTAATATATAAAAAATTAAATGGGATTCCGAATAACATAAAACATATATTTTATTATACCAATCAGCTGTAATAATGTGCCTTATCACATGATTGTAAATTTTTATTTTTTTGGTAAGTTTTAAAAACGCATGTAAATATGAATCTAAATTTTTAAAAATATATAAATGTTATTCCTTATTTAAAATTTTGGTACTAATATTCTGTTTATTTTCAGACATATAATGAACGAAATACCGGCTTGATACCAAAGAAACATCATTCAAAGACAAGAACGACTTATGGAACGATGGGCTGAGAAATTAAATTGACTAACGTAGGATACTTGTTACCCATTATTGAAGCCTATGGACAAAGAGAACTACGAAAAAATTATAAAACGAAATAACTTACAGAGAATATGACAATTTTCGCCATACACTACTTTATTTTTTAACTGACCGATACTGAAAGACTGAAATAACAGAATTTAGAGAAGAAAACGCTCAGGTTAATGTAAAAGAAAAATGTAAATATATTTATTAATTTATTGCTTTGTAAAAATAAAAATTGCAACCATGTTGAAAAAAAAAATTATTTCCTTCTAAAATATCCCTCTTGCTTATTATGAAAACCATAAAATTGATTGGAAAAGAATATTTTTTAAGATTAAAAAATTAATAAATTCCTAAAACTATTTATTTCCTCAGGGTTATATAGAAGACTTCTGTTTACAATCTATTTTTCTTTAATTTATCTTCAAATAGAAAAAAAAATAGAACTTATTTATTAATAAATATTACAATCTGTCTGAATTAAGGATAATTATAATAGTGTTCAGTGAGCACATTCATACTCTATAGAGAAAAAAAAAATTAAAATTAAAATGCTTAAGCTTCTTAAGACTAAATATGATGATAATTCTACGTCTTTACGTAAATGCTTTACGTAGTAGCTGACATACTTAAAGAAAATTTCTTTTAACTTTTACGTATAATACATAAATATTGATGTAAATACATTTTTCATGGATTCATCTTATAAAGCTATATCTCACCTTACCAAGACATATTTCAAATCCATGAACCTTTTATATAAGTTTAAAAAAATTGAAAATTATGAGAATAGTTTTGTTGTACTAGTAACTGACACTATTTGATTTGAAATGTTCCTACAGCTGAGATGAGAAATATTGTATAATTAAGGGAATTTCATATTCTTCATTTTAAGATTAACAAAAATTACCTTTAACTTATTATAAAACTTCCTGCGTTTCCCTACTTAAATTTATCAATAAATGCTGGTTACTGTCGAGAACCTGTTTTTGCTTTATATTTAATCCAAAATACTAGCAACTTTTTCTTAATGAGACAATATTGAAAGGTCCCATTTTTAAGACCTGTTATATTGAATGTACCTCTTTGAATTTATGAGAGTACAGGTCTGTCAACTAATGGCTAAAGTCCCCATTCTATGGCATCAGTAGCTGACACCCATATCCAATCCCTTCATAAAGATAAGCCAAAAACAGATAAAGCATAATTTAAAAAAAATTCAACAAAAAAATCAACCAAAAATTTGGTAATCAATCTGAGTATCTAAAGAGAAAAAGGCAAAGAGGATCTTGTTGAGGATGGTTGTTCCTGGGACACTAAGTGGACCGCCAGGAACCTTTCTAATTTGCCACCTATCATATCGGTCGCGATTTTCGGTAGGACTAATGAAAAGCTGAGAAAAACACAAGGAGAAAATATAGAAACTAAAAATATATAAAATAGAGGTCTAGGAGGTCCTGAAGTTTTATTATTCCCATTTTTCGGGAAGGGTGTCAGGTACTGGTACATTGTCACCTATTGGTGCTTTAACCCTTCTGGGTTCTGGGTTCTGAAGTTTCTGGAGGAGAAAAACTTCAAACTTTAAATGATAATGGACGCTTCGCCCGATATGTTTAAAATTGTTGGATAGGTAAAAGTGTGTTTTTCAAATTTTAAGGTTTTTAGCTCCAGAAACGTAGGATAAAATATTTAACTTTATCTAGCAAAAATGATTAAATAATTTACCTTATCCCAGTAAAAATAACAATAATTTTAGGAGAAATGGGGAATCTATAGATTCATTATACTGATTTTGTATGATTTTTTTTTTTCCTTTTGTAGGGAATTTAATAACCTTTTATATAATCATGGGTATAACCAAGAGAAAAGAGTGTAATTTTTTAGTTATTCGCAAATAAAGTTTGTTTTCTTTCATAACTTGTTTAGCTGAATTTTCGGTGTGATTGGACTATTTTGCCCATGCTTGAAGGAGAAGGAAGCCTTCGAAATTGGTGACTCAATCTTGAGATTTGGTGATGTATTAACGATGATATGGCTTGCCGATCAAAAACACCATCGATAAATAATATAAACTTCTCCTCTCTTGATCATAGAGGGCTCAAGTCTACGAAATGAGACATGTATTCAATTACTGTACTACAATTAATGTAAGGTTGTGTGGATGCGAACTCTATGCCTTGCGTTATCTCAAAAATAGTAGGTTTTTGAACTTAAAAACGCAGGATCCGATAGTTCCGGAGGATCCGGGTTGTCTTGCTGTACGCATTCAAAATCTTCAAGGTCTAATTTGTCCCGTATCGATCTACAGACCTACCACGTTCCATTATTGAAGCCTAGCAAAATGTTTGTATCGACTTTATTTATTTTAGAAAGAAAAACTAAATTGGAGAATACGATTCGCTAACCCTCCGTGAAATTCTGTATCCAACGGTTCCCCATTCATGTTATTTGAGCATGACAGGAGCTTATATTTGGTGCAAAACCGATTTCGACTCTTACTGTAATAATATATGTGGGGAGGGGATGGGGATAGGTTTTGGGATTTCTTTCATTTAAAAATAAACACATGTTATAAATATACTGTTATATAACCTTCCGTGATATAGACTCTACTGTTTGTTAAATATAAACTTATTTGGAAATTAATCAATTTCCAGTTGTTTTTCCTTCTTTTTTTTTCTATTTATCGAAATCAAAAGTTAACTTATAATTGCCTCTCTAACTCTAGATGATGGAATATAGAGAGCAGCACCATTCAAAATCTGTAACTTAAGCTAAGCAATGGTAGCTCTTTGTTGTCCGTAGTAGTCTATCTATATGTTTTGTTTATTTTATTTTTAAATCAGTGGTAAGTTATAACAGTGTGATTTAGTCATTTATTGTAATTGTTTATTTGTGTTTGCTCCAAAGTTAAATTATTTTGTGATGGAGAAGCCTGATTTTGCTATAAAAGAAAAAGTTCTACAGTACGAAACTTTTTTAAATGATGTTTTGAAAGAAGACCTTAGGAAAATTCATGTTAAACTTGATCATTTACAAAGTGAATTGTTCGAATACGTACAATTGAAGAACTACATAGAAACGGTAAAAAGCAACAAATTAAATGAGAAAACTATGAACACACAAGTTGACATAGGCTGCAACATATTTTTGCAAGCCAAAGTTGAAGATCCCGAACATATTTTAGTGTCTATAGGTTTAGGATATTATGTCGATCTGCCATTAGACAAAGCATTAAATTTAGTCAAGAAAAAAATTAAATTTATAGAAGATGAAACAGGATTTTTTAAGAAGAAGAGTGCCGTTACCAAAAGTCATATTAAAATGGTGTTATTAGGTCTTATGGAGATTCAAAACCTCAAATAATGGTAACCATTGTGAATAACTCTTTTAATCATTGATTAAACCTCAAAAATGTGTTTATTTTTACACAAGGTTAGTTCACTGAAATGGAAGAGAAGTGGTCACACTTTCATAATGGATAGAAAATTCAATGATTCAATACTTAAAATTGCCAGCTATTTAAAACTATGGAATATTTGTGAGATATAAAGAATAAACAAAGAGGTTCATAGCTTTTTCGGAATCTCATCAGTCATAAAACATTAGGAATGTATTCAAAACTATGCTGCAACACATACATCCAGAATGGAAGAAGCACAACCCGAAATTTCTAATTATTTTCATTTTTGAACTACCACTACCTCTCAAGAAAAATAGCTGTTAAATATTAGGCCTAACCAATAGACACTCTAGATGTTCTCAGCAGTATATGTTAAGAACGATTTGGGACTAATATGTATAGTATGTTTTCTATTTTCATTATGTGTGATATGTGATAATTAGATGGAAGAATTGGAAACACCTATTATAATGAAGTTAAAATTAAAAAAAAATAAAGTTGTTTTTTTTAACTTATTGTCTTAATTATATTCCTCATCTGCATTATAAAATGTCTCTTGCTTATTGAAAAATATTGTGAATATATTAGGTTATAATTAGAAAAATTCCTACCACACTGCCTTATATCTCCAAAATGGAAATAAAAAATAAAAAAAAACCTACAACTGGAGCGATTGGATGTCATGTAGTGATGTGATCTTTGACTGACGAATTTCTTTTGAAGAACTAAGGCTCTGTGTGGTTAGAATTTTATTTTTTTATTGTAATTATGAATGTATTGACATTAGATAGCCATTGAGGTAAAAAAAAAAACCTCTTGTTGAGTAATGTTTAATTGAAATTATTGAAAAGAAGATGGTTGGGGTGTTAAGTTAAAATATAAAATAAATGATATTAATTTTTATTTTTGCCAACGTTTTGGCCCAAAGTTCAGGGCTTAGAAAAGACAAGATAACAATAGCTATGGAAAACTATTAATCTTTAAAGAATAATACTATGTTGGTGAAATATTTAGTCTAATAACATGTAGGTAGAATAAACTTGACATTAATAAATTAGCGGAGAGGCAGAAATATGAAATATAAATAAAGAAAATATTAAATAACGATAAAGTTAGGATATATCCTATAACATTTATTAATGTTAAGTTTATTCTACCTATATATTATTAGACTTTACATTACATTTCACCTATATATTATTATTTTTTTACTGTTAATAGTTTATCATACCTATTGTTATCTTGTCTTTTGTTAGCCCTGAACTTTGGAACGAAATGTTGGTAAAAATAAATATAATTTATATATTTTTACTTTGTATTTTGATTGAAAATCCCAACCAATTTCTTTTCAATTATTTACTACAGTCAACCATCAATCCGCTATTAATTTAAATTAGGTTGGTTATTTAGCTATAAATATGGTCATTTTAGAAAAATCAGTAAGTTCAATATTCAACCAAATATTAGTATATAAAATTGTAAAAATAAATGTTAGTACAAGTTTTCATTAAATTGTTGAATTTTTTTTTATATATATTCTTTATTTCCTCATCGTCTTAGTAAGTCATACATGGGTATAACAACAATAAGTACATTTTTAACATTTGAGTAAGTGGGGGTATAGTCTCATGCAAAAGAGCCCAAATACATGTTGCCTATAACTATGGACCAGTGAAGTTAGTAGAACACATGAATAATAATGCAATATATAAAGTTTAAGAATGATATAAAATAAATAATAATAATATGTTGAATATTATGATATAATTTATTTTGTAAATTTTGCATAACTTTATATTCTTAAAGGGTAAAAAAAGGGTATTCTTAAAATTGTA